TTAGGATGTCCTTAGGGGTGGTGTCTGTTTCTGAAAAATTGAGGGAGGGAAGACTACGGTGGTTTGGGCATGTCCTTAGGCGACTACCGTCGGATGCGGTCAGGAGGGTAGAGTCGATTACAGTCGACGGTGCCAGAAGGAAAGGACGACCAAGGCGGAAGTGGGAAGACTGCTTGAGATCTGATTTGATGGATTTAGGCCTTACCGAAGACATGACCTATGATAGGAAATTATGGAGGCTTAAGACTAGGGTAGTCGAGTAGTGTGGGTCACATCTATAGGGTGTATCATCTTTGTCTTCTTTTAAATGCATTTGTAGTAATTTCCATGACTTTTACTTTTTATACTTTTCTGTTATTGGTATTTATGAAAGATTAGAACTGGGCTTGCTATAATTGTCTTCTGTGTATCATTCTCGTCATGTTTCCTCTGTTAAATTTAGCCGGTCTTATGTTTCTGTCTATATGCAGAGATTCTTTCGCAGGGATTATTTTGCAGGGATTACTCCCCATTACAGAAGCACATATGATATTAATGACTGCATATGAATATTGTCTAGCTATGTATTTATGTAATTATTTATACATGCATTGCATTTTATCTATATTTTTAATTTTCTGAGTGCCGGAGGTCTTTCACGGAAGCTATTCTCAACCTGGCGTTGGGGGCAGCCTACTACCCTACCTCCCCCTTACCCCATACATATGGGAATTGGGTTTTGTTGTTGTTGTTGTTGTTGTTGGTTAACTGTTTATCAAAATTCGTAATTGTAACTTTAATCATTAGCCGTCATTTTTAATGGTTTGGTCAAACGAAACCGTTTAATATTAATGATTTGGTTAATTAATTTGTTAAAAGTGACAGTTATACTGGTCGATTATGAGTTTTTTAAACACCCCTAGTTTTTAGTATGTCTAAAATAATAATAATAATTAATTTTACTATATTAAAAATCTTTTTGGAATTATTAAATGCATAATTTTAAATGAATTTTGATGTTATGCACCTATTTTAGTTAATTTATATTTGAATATTATATTTATTCTCCTTTTTTAAAACAATATTTAAAACAGTTAGAACTTGTTTTATTCATAAATAATAGAATTTTGTGTTTAAAAACATTCAAATGTTCGTCTCTTATTGTACTAATCAAATTAAAGCATAATTAATAAATTATAATATTAAAACTAATATTCTTTTTTTTCAAGTATTTAAAGAGTTCTAAACATATATATGTAAAATACTAAGGAGAAGTAAAATAAATAAATAGTGTCAATCGAACACATTAATACTGACCTTATAATTGTATATCCATTAATAACAGAATTGTTGCCTAATACATTTAATGAACACGTCAAAAGAATGGGCTACCACAATTGATATTATCTTGTTTATGCTCTTATGTAATTGACACTTTGAGCTCATTTCCATATTGTTTCTGGTTTTCAATATTTTATTTCTTATGATTAGTATATATACATGAATGAATCGTGTATGGATTAACATAAGTTATCTTTGATGAAGACATTAATATTGGACCACTATGATACACGGATGGAATTATGTCAAATTAATGACATATAACCGCTATAATCCTTATTTGTTTTATTTAATAATGATTTTATGATAGAAAAATTCTACAACGCTCGTCGAGCATTGACGAGTACGATAAGCGATGATCACCATAAAATTAAATTATAAAATCGTTAAATCATAAAGTACTCAAAGTATAATTATAATTTAGTTAAAAAATTAAAGTATAATTTAATTAAAATACAATAATTCTAAGAAATAACTTTTTATAAATTTATTTCAATCAAATTAATTCAAATATAAATTTGGGAAATCTTTTAAGCCACCGCCACTGTTGCCGCTGCTGTCAACGACACTACCGTCGCTGTCGCTGTCGTCGTTGCCTCTGTCATCACTAGGGCATAATCCCTAAAGTAAGGTTTATTAATGATCCTTAACACGAATTCCTCAATTAGTTTAATTAGAAAACCCTAATAATTGAAGTATTATATTTACTAAATTACAACTCAAATTAGAACAATCAAACCCTAATTTTTACGTTTGAACCATATTTGGTAAATCCAATATCGATTTCCTTATTGTTGTCCCGTCGTCTATACCTGTACACTGGTTCGTTCGCATCGGAACGCGGGCATGCCAGTATCGGTGCCCTATGCATACCGGTACAATATATGTACACTGTTTTGGTATTGAATACGCGTACCGATACTCCATATAGGAGTATCGGTACAGGTGATTGTTTCGTGCTTTATCTTATGTTAAGTGTGCAAGCTTAGATTTTATCTTTTTCACGTTGATGATGGATCTAAACATAACACCTTCAAAACAAGTTAAGATGATGGAGTGTAAGCGTTATATCGATATGAATTCGAAGAAGACAAAAAATGAGGTATGTGCATTATAATTAACTGAAATTTAAGCAAATTCAATAAAACAACAACTGGTACCATAAAGAAATGGCCATAAACTGGCGAGTCTTGACCAATTTGAAATATCATTTAATGTAGTTGAAATAGTTGAATGTTGGATTGTTTGAATATATGTCCTATCGAAACAAAATTTGTAACTTGATATCCTCTTCCCTAGTTGGCAAGGATTTACCTCAGTGGAAAAGATGATTCATTCGGATCCGCATGAAAGCCCAACTCCATTACATTGCCAGAATCATGTTGTATATTTGAAAGAGGTTGACCTCCTAAGTGATAAAAGTAAAGAATAACTTATCTTCTTTCCTTTCTTTTCTTTTTTTATTATCTTCCTTGCGTATGTATAAGATCGAACCCATTCGATTTCTAAAACGGATTACTAATCCTTAACTTTTTGAGGAATCCTTCATCAGTGGTTGTGAATGACTTATTTTTCTCAATCTTTTCAACCTTGGTTTCGTAGGAGCAAGTCAGAAAGATTGAGAAATAGAACCATCTGATTTGATTCGTTCTCAATAGCCATGAGCTCAGACTCGAGCCGAGATGCTCTAGCATTGCTTCCTAATAGCAGCGTGTCTAACAATTTCAAACCCTTATCACTTAATTTTTCAACTTTTCAGGAATATATTAGATGATGAATTAGTAGTTGTTTTTCTTGTTTTTTAGTGCCTTCAGTCGTTCCTATACCTGTCATGTTCCTTGGATTATTTACAAGTGGGATTCAAGCTCTTATTTTTACAACTTTAGTTGCGGCTTATATAGGTGAATCGATGGAAGGTCCCCTGGTTGATAATAGTGGGTGCAATACAAATAACTTAGAAAAAAATGAAATAAATCCAATGGATTAAATGTGGATTAAATGGATTAATGGATTAAATGTGGATTAAATGGATTAATGGATTAAATGTGGATTAAATGGATTATTTTTTTTGTAATTTAGGAATGGAAGTGGAACAAAAGGTATGATTCATGAATATTTATATGCATGCTCCATAAAAAAATCTTATTCTTTCTTACTTAATTAATCGTTTCTGATTCTCCGGCTCTTATCTCTTTTGATTAAATGATTGAAAGGGAGTGATGATTTTTTGTCGGTATATATTATGTAAGATTTATTTATTTACTTTATGTGCATATAGGAAAAATCTAAAGTTGTACATGAGGAAAATATAAGAACTCTTTATCAAAGTGATCACAAGTTCGAGACACTCATTCATTCAGTTCAAAATATTGAAAAGGACTTTTCTATAAGGAATGGTTAAGTTAAAGAATTAAAAGGTTAATTTGAAAAATTGAATGGCCAATTTGAAAAATTAGTGAGCATATTGACACATAGTAATATAAAAAGTTCATTAAAGGAGGATGCTTTAAATAATAGAGAAGAAGAGACAAATTTGTATAGCGTTCCACTGAAAGATGAGAGTTTAGAGAACAAATCACATATGGAAGAAGAATTAGGTGTCGCATCATTGAAGGAAGAAATCGAGAGTGGTATTAAAAAAATGAGTTCGTGTCTATTTATTACTTATGATTGTGATTATTTTTCTCCCTTATCAAAACCTATGGGAAAAAGAAAACTTCAAGTTAATTCTGAAGACAACATCAAGATTGATAGTGATGGTTTTTCAAAAATTTCGGTCGAAGTTTTTAACTTTCAATTTAGTCTCAATCAATTTCCTAGTCAATTAGTTACGTTGAAGGATACTTAAATGATTAAAAAAATAGAGTCGAAAATGTCAAATGATCCTAAAGCTTTGTCAAAGATTAAAGGCTCCCAATAAGGATAAGAGTGTGAAATGTTCAAATGCACGTATTGATTTTGCTGATGATCTGAAATCGCAAGATATGGCATCAAAAAAAATATCTAGAGCATCTAAAGTACATACCAAGGTATGCATACCTCATCATTCTTTATTGATTATATTTCATGTTTATTTTAATGCAGTAGAAATGTTTTTATGAGTTAAATGTTTGTCATGTAGTATAAATATGAGGTTGGTGGTGTGTTAGCAAAAGATTTAAAAACAAATAGGTACAATAAGTAATGTGTACAAGCAATATTTGGAGTTCTTAATGCTTGAAGAACGCATAATTTGTACGAATGTTGCTACTTGGAATAATACATCCAACGTTGTTTACATGGCAAAGAATAATATGTTGGACGTTGCCAGTGTTCGCAATGTTTTTTCCAGAGAAGTGGTTATCTGATTGAGTATTATAGATTAAATTAATAAATATTTTTCATGTCAATATTTATTATTTTGACCATTATTAATACAAGTGTTTGTATTGCTTTTAAATATTTTATAGTTTATCGATCTCTATCTATTCGTTTTGCACTTAAGAGAAGAGCATATGCTAAAGAAGCTATATATGCTTGTATCCTTTTAGGTAAAAAAATATGAATTAGGGATCATATTATTTTGCGGGTATATATGTTAATGACATTTTCTAATTTAATATTTCTTCAGAATATCCTTACAAATTACGCAAATGGTCAAAAGATGAGAAAAAGTTATAGCATTGTCAAATTTCATACTCGATAGATAAGGGACTTTATGCCTATTAATAGTAGTAATGTTGAACATGTATATTTATATATTGTTTTTTGCTTGTATGTAGTTGCTTGTATTTTTAACTCGCATTATTTTACAGGTATATGTGCCTTTACATGATATACAAGACAATCATTGGTTTTTATTAGTTGTTGATGTTGTGGAGGGACATAATTACGTTTTGGACTCTCTTGGCGTCAATAAAGTGCGTAAGAATATTGCATAAAATATTGTAAGTTCTTTATTCATTTATAAGAACTAATATAATTTGTGTAGTTTTTAAATATAAATTTCTTAATTTTGTTTTGACTTATTATAACAGTTGAGTAAAGCGTCAGTTATGTATAAGGGTCATGCTCATTTGGGTAGATTATTTGAAGATGTTGCAAAATTTTCAATCCATTTTCTTGACTTACCGAAGCAACCAAATTCGTACATAATATATATTTTAAATAATAGTTTCTATTTATTTATCTAAATTTCTTTGTAATAAATTATGTATTTGATATTAGATTTAGAGATGATTATGGCATGTACATATTAAAGTATATAGAAGCTGATAATAAGAGTGATTGGTCAAAGACTATTTTCACGGCAAAGTATACCATGTAATTTCATTTAATTATTGTGTGATATTGAATAATGTTTTATATTTGTTTTATAGACACAACAAATGGGAGTTGAACAATTGAAAATTTTGGCAAAACTTGTCTCAAGCAAATACAATGAAGTTGATCTTTTCAATTGCCGTAATCTGCCTATACATGATTAAGAAATAGAGGGTGTTCAATGTAGTTTCATCAATAGTGAATAATAGTGGTGTATTTGAATTTTCAAATTATGACAAACATTTGAACATTATTATACTTGTTATGATATATTTTTTTTCTGTTAATTTCGAAATGTTAACATTTAATTCAATATAATGTTTAGGATACTTGTTATTATATTTGGTAATCGAACATATGAAACAAAAATATTTGTTCTCAAATAGTATGTTTTTTCTCTATTGTATCTCCAATGTTCTTTTTCGCCATTCATAAATTGAACCAAAATTCAAATGGCATTGCGTTTCGATGATGATTAACACCAGCCAAAACAACGAGCGGCTTGTTGTATGTGTTGCACTTGTAAGTCGTATCAAATACAAGAACATGTATGAATTCTTTATAGTCTGCACATGATATACCATCAGCCCAAAATAACTCCTCTAAGTTTTCGAATTCATCCCTCGTGTGGCTCACAAAAAAGAAAGGGTCAGATTCTTGCTTCCCACTTAAATAGGCCATCACCGTTTCAACAACACCATTTTGCACTTCTTCTCGTTTGATTCTTGATAGATAGTTGTACAAATCCTTTGGCATAAATCCAATATTCTCAAGTAAGACAGCTTCAGTCAGAAATTTTGCATTATCTTACTTGGACCAATTCCAGAGTTGTGCATGATCTTAATCTTAAATTGGTCTAACACACTAATTTTTCGTAATGACCTGCAAAATAAATCATTAAATAACATTAAATATAAATATATATAAGTTAGTATGTAAACATTTAGTTTTGGAAGAAAAACATACCTGATGTAAGCAACTTGTGTTGGCTGAACCATTTCATGGTTATGTTATGCATGGAATTTTTCAACTTTCCAATATTGATATCGTTAGTCCAATTTGAATATATTAAATGTTTCACATCCAAATCGGATGACCAGTTGTTGATGTTTTCTATATGGATTGTTATTCCACCTATCATCTCTATATCCCTCCTTACGACAAACCATTTTCTTTGAAATTATGTTACCACCATTTTAACTTTTCAATGTCTGAGCGACTCGAACTCCAAAACCTTTTACCTTGGCATATGTATGATAAAATTCAACGCAGTCATCTAAAGGCTTCCACTTCAATATATTCATATCATTCTTATCGTAATCTTTTAATTCGTTCCTAATCTTATCCCATATTTTTTCATCAATAAAGTTGTCAACTGTCTTCTCATCAGCTATATGTTTGTCATCATCAATATGATAATCAATTTGTTCTTCTTCAGTATGGGTGTTACAATTGAATTCACTGTCCAATCTGTAACTTGAATTTTGGTATCTTCATTAGAAACCATCTCGAAAATATCTATATTTTCAAAAACATAAACAAAAGAAATTAATAAGATGGTAAATGGCATTATAATTGAAATAACATAGCACAAAGCATGAAACAACCACCCGTATTGATTCTCCTATATGGAGTACTCGTACGCGTATTCAATACCAAAATAGTGTATATATATCATACTGGTACGCATAGGGTACCGATATTGGCATACCCACGTACTGATACGAACGAACCAGTGTACCGGTATGGACGACGAGACAATAATCAGGAAATTCGTATTACATTTACCAAATACAACTCAAATGTAAAAATTAGGGTTCAATTGTTCTAATTTGAGTTGTAATTTAGTAAATATGATACTTAATTCGATTATTAGGGTTTTCTAAGTACACTAATTGAGGAATTCGGGTTAGGAATCATTAATAAAACTTACTTTAGGGATTGGTTGCAATAGTGACGATGACGACAGAGGCGGCAATTTAAAAGATATTTAAATAAATTAAGGTTTATAAATTTCTCAAATTTATATTTGAATTAATTTGATTAAAATAAATTTATAAAAAGTTATTTTTTATAATTATTATATTTTAATTAATGTACACTTTAATTTTTAACTAAATTATAATTATACTTTGAGTACTCTATGATTTTATAATTTAATTTTATGGAGCTCATCGTTTACCGTGCTCGTTAAATATTATCAAGTGTGCCAACATCATCCTTTATGATATAATCAATTTATGTAAGATTTAACTTTAATTATTCATATTATGATTATTATTAAATTATGAAATTAATGTCATATGAATCAAGTATAGAATATTAGATAATTTTATATTTAGTGACTCGTGTGATATTAATATTTTGTATTTATATTCTATATAAAAATAATAATTGTGTTTAATAATATATGTGATGTGATCCTACTTCTGCACCTTCTTCATTTCATATTTATTTCTTCAAGCATGGATATCAATAAGCCACGACGAAATAATATTGTTCTCACTGAGTAAACTTCCACCAAAGCGAAAATATTATGTCAACTTTGTTATACCTTGTTCCATCAGTAAAAACTATGTTTGAAGAGCCCTATGTGATTTGGGATCAAGTGTGAATCTGATGCCCAAGTCCATATTTTTGAAGCTTGGAATGGGTAATGCTCAACCAACTACTTGGCTAGCCGATCACACTTTCGTTTCGAGGGAAGGATTGAAGATGTCATCGCGAAAGTGGACAATTTTTCTTTCCAGCAGACTTCCTCATTCTAGATAGTGAGGCAGACGACAATGTACCTATTATTCTGGGGTGTCCCTTCTTAGCCACTGAGCGCATATTAATAGATTGCGAGAAGGGATAGTTCATGATGAGGGTGGCAAATGAGAGTGTCACGATCAATGTCTTCAACACTTTGAAATATGTTGACGATTCTGAAGAATGCCAATACATTGAAGACATGGATCTAATGGAGGATGGCGAAGTAGATATTTTTGGTCATGGCAAATTTTTATATTTGGAAGAGTATGTTAATTTTTTCCAAGGTAATATTTTTCAGCTGAAGGAGTATGAAAACTTCAGCCCCGATAATATTTTACAACCTGAGGAGCATGATAATTTTTACCAAGACAAAATTTTTTTTATTGACACAAACGACATACTTATTGAAGCTGAAGCAAGTGCGGAGGTCGTGGAATATTCATCAGAAGTGGAACAACCTAGCTTGCTTCAAGCTAGACTAGGTATGAGATTCGAACCCCTTGACTTTGATGAATTCATTCTTCCAAAACCTTTGTTGCAGCATGCACCTACTTTGGAACTTAAACCTTTTCCATCACATTTAAAATATGTTTTATATAGGTAGTGATAATTCTTTGTCGGTTATTATATCTTCCAGTATAACCCTCCATCAAGAGTATAGTTTGTTAAGTGTTTTATTGAAGTATAAAAAAGCTCTCGGGTGGACTATGGCAGACTTGAAGGGAATCAACCCTACCATATGCATGCACAAGATCTAGTTAGACAATTTCCATGATAATTTTGTAGAACCCCAAATAAGACTCAACCTGATGATAAAGAAAGTGGTGTTGAAAGAAATCATCAAATGGCTAGATGTTAGGGTGATCTATCCCATATCTGATAGGTCTTGGGTTATCCAGGAGAAAGGTGGCGTGACTGTTGTAAAAAATGAGGATAATGAACTCTTAATGACAAGGACCATTACGGGTTGGAGGATTTGTATGGACTATCAAAAACCCAACAAGTAACAAAGAAATACCATTTCTCCTTCTCATTCATCGATCAAATGCTTGATCGTTTGGCGGGCAAGGTATTTTATTGTTTCCTTGATGGATATTCTAGGTATAATCGGATTTCCATAGCACCTGAATATCAGGAGATGTCCATCTTCACTTGGGCATATGGTACATATACATTTAGAAAAGATGTTGTTCGGACTATGTAATGCCCCAACAACTTTACAAAGGTGCATGATAGAAATATTTTCATACATAGTGGAGGACTTCTTGGAAATTTTCATGGATAATTTTTTCGTATCAGGAGATGACTTTGATATATGCCTTGATAATTTATCTAAAGTGTTGAAGCAATGTGAGGAGGCCAACCTTGTTCTCATATGGGAAAAGTGTCATTTTGTGGTGACAGAGGAAATTGTGTTGGGCCATAAAATTTGTCGTCGCGGTATCGAGGTTGACAAGGCCAAGGTGGAAGTGATTGAAAAGTTGCCTCCACCCACCACTGTGAAGGGCATAAGGAGTTTCCTGGGACTACAAGATTCTATTGGCGTTTCATCAATGATTTTTCAAAGATTTCTAAACCTCTTTATCTTTTACTACAACATAATCAACCGTTCGTGTTCAATGATGACAACTTCAGCGCATTCAAGGAGCTGAAAGAAAAACTTGTCACGACGCCAATTGTTATTCCACCTGACCAGGGTGCCCCTTTCGAGCTGATGTGCGATGTGAGTGACTATGCAATAGGGGCAGTGCTAGGGTAAAGAAAAGGTAAAATCTTTTATGTCATTTATTATGCTAATCGTACCCTAAATAATGCACAACTTAACTTACCACCACTGAAAAAGA